AATCAGCAGTCATTGGTGAAATAAACTGGAAGTTTAGATTTAAACAGGAACAGCTTCCTGTTTCACAGTTTCACAATAAAAGCAGCCTGGAACAAGCTGGAATTAACTTTAGCAAAGCTCTTCTTCACAGTAGAAATAGAAGGTTAGTCTAGATTTGTTGGAGTATGAACGTAAAGAAACCATCTGGTGTTTGAATTATACTTATTTTATCTGTTAGAATAGTTATTATTGGAGGAAAGAAGAGAAACATCAATATAACAGCAAATAAGTGGAGAGAAATAGATCTTTTCCAAAAGCGTCCATGTTTGTTCCTCTTTTTTTAGCCCTCAGGAAGCATCACTTAGCATCTAAAAGCTAGAGCAGAGCCACTAGTTACAAACTTTAATAAGAGCCCTGCCCCACCCTCACCATCATCATTAGGTAAACACATCATGTCCACCATGTCCGCTGAGTGGGTCGAATCAAGTTAGCATTGATTGAACATCATTTCTGGGAACATGGACTGAAATAAACTCGGCAGGCAGCCGGACTGATGCTCAAACAGCAGGAGGTTTATTTTAAACAGAGCTAAAGGCTAAATATTATTTCTGACAGTTGACAGAAAAAGAAGAATGATGAGATGATATTCGTTCCAAATAGTTTGATCGGTGGTCTCTATAAAAGCCGATCAGAAGAGTCGATCAAATGGCACAAAAACGTGCAAGACGAATTCTTTATGCGCCGCTAAAGCTGTGTCTCTTAAGAGAGAGTGGAATATGTCGTAAATACGTGACACTCATCTTTAAATCCAATAGTTATCACACAATGTTAAGAACAATTGAATAAATCAATAATGCTACACAATAAATAGAAGGCTTTAAATAGACACAGTGATCGGTGATCATATGGGAGATCAATGATCAGCCTCAGAAATCCTCATCGTAGCACCCGCACCGTTATTGTTAGTTATTAATCGTAATTCAAGCATAAAGAGAGAGAGAGAGAGAGAGAGAGAGCTTGTCAAGTGGACCAACAACAAGGGATGTGATTGGCTGAGAGACCAAAGAAAACACATGTCCCCAAATATTCCTCTAACTCAAGACAACTAGTGGTTAAGACACAAATAATGAAACATATGTGACAACGAGAGGGTTTACGAGACGACGGAAGAAGCCGAAATTGTTCAAATGCTACTTTTAATTAGCATTGCTAGCTTGGTTTCTTGTAGCGGGAAACAGAACTGAGCTTTAAAAATGAGTAAAACTAACACGGTAATGTTTGTAAATCAACATGCTGTGTCTTTAAAGTAAGGGGAAGCTGCTCGTCTATACTCACAAATATAATGCAATTAAATTACAATCCAAAGTCGTCTGATTGATAATCTTTGTCTCTCTGACTGCCCCCCCCCACCACCTATAATAATGTGAATGATAACAAGTGCATTTCTACAGCACTGTTACAACAAACCTTCAACAACAAGTGTTGTCAGGTTTGTGTTGAGCAAGAACTTAATCCAGTGGAGTTTTAGATTAACCGACTGTTTGGTGTTTAATGGGGGAAGTCCCGAGCAGAGAACGTGAGGAGATAGAGATACGTGAGGCATTGTTTGTGGGTTTGTAACGTGGGCCGAGGAGCAACATGAGGCTGCAGATGTCAGGCGTGATCTGAAGCCGAGCGGCGAGTCCACGCCCTGAAACTGAGCAACCTTTTTGTTCATTGGGGGGGCAGAGACACAATGGAGAGCCCACACAACCTGTTTGACTCTACTGAACGGTTGAATGGAGCAACAAGAAGAAGAGAGGAGCTGCTCTGCACAGACACAACTGAACAATTCAAAGTTTAATGAACAAAACTAAACACAGATTGAAAATAAATGAAATTAGACAGCCAGCCAGCCAGCCAGCCAGCCAGATAGATAGAAAGTTAAAATACAAAAGAAGAAGTAATACTTCAAACATCTGCTCAACTTGAGTTGAGTAAAACATATAGTATAAGTCTAACAGTACAACACGTCCATAAAATGAATCCTGCATCACAAAATCCAAACACTTTAAGTGAGAAAACTCCTCCAATGACAAACCAAATAAACCCACAACTGACAGAGACTTAGAGAACTCTCGGAAACAAGAATAATATGATTTAAACGTCTCCAAAGTAATAAAAAAGACATTATTAAGATGTAATGATGTTAAAAACATTTATTAAATGACTTTGTTTTGTTTTCTAGACTCACCCAGAAAAGGAGGTTGAAGAAGAAGAGGAGGAACTTGATGCATTTATTCACAGCCATGGCTTTTTCTTTAGTTGTCTTTATTCCTTCGTCCTCAGCGGCTTCTTATCCGACTCTCGACTCGCTGCCTTCAAACAAACACTAGCTTCCTTCAGAACGAGAGACTCCCTCAGGCTGGTAAACAGAGCAGCCTGCTCTACCCGTTTACACTTCCCTGAGGGAGCGTCCCTTTTCTTGCCCTTCCTCCTTCCCTTTCCCGATCCCGCCTCTTCTCTCCTACACCCCCTTCTCTCCTTTCCCCCTCCTGCTCCTTTCCTTCTTTGCATCCTTCTTTCCTACCAAATAAAACTCAGTTGGGCTCGAAACCGACAGACTCAAGTAGAAGTACTAATACCACGCTGTGAAAATACTTTGCTACAAGTAAAAGTCCACTACTGAAAATATTTCTTACCTAAATTGATGTAAGAATAATCAGAATTATTTATTTTTTTTTAAATACTAGAATATGACGAGCTAATTTTTAATAAATTACACACTGATAATAAAAATCCTGCTTGATCTACTTAAAACAAATGCTTATTACGTAGGTCAAACTAGTTCATTTTTTGTACTTAAAAATTATCTTTTTTATGTCAAGTCAACTTAACTTTTTCATTTACATCAAGCCAAAGTGTTTTACAGTGATTTTAAGCGATTGTTGCTTGAGAAGAGATATTTGTTTTGAACCTATGAGATGTTTTGAACGCTGAGTTCATACTCTGTCAGTGGATGAGGGATTTTCCACAAACTGAACAATGATTATTATTCACCACATTTGCCTAAAGACATATTCAACATCAGCCATCAACCATTAACTTCACTGACTTTTGAACGAGGCAGAGCTGATGTGGTCCACACTGGCTCCTCCCACTTTATAACTGCAACACGTTTGCACTCATGTGTGTATTATCTTATCCCATGTCAGTATTTTAGGAGTTGTAGTTTTATGTATTTATAGTGTATTCTAACATATTATTTATATCGTGTACTCTAGTATTGATATGTATATTTTTACCATGTATTTACTGTCGCTGTTTCTGTAACAATAATCTCCAAGTATGGATTAATAAAAGTATCTATTCATTCATCACTGCAGTATAACTTGCTGTAAACTACACAGTTCTTACAGCATAAAGTAATTAATCACAAACTGGCTGGATGGTGTTTCCTCAGTAAGAAGATCTCATGTTGGAATGAAGCTTGAATGAATCGTAACAAAAAGTAAATAACAGGTTTAATTTCGTTAACAGAACTCTTTGGTTTTACTTAACTCTGAAGAATTGTTGATCATTTTAACCTGATCACAGACTCTAAATGTATCTTTTCATTCTTCTCCTGACAACATGTAGTGAAGCTGAAGTAGTAAAAGAACAGCACTGACACAACAACATGGTCCTTAAAGGTAGAATCAGTGAAATACGACTCTGTACTACCATCTAGTAGCAGCTGTGTGAAACTACAAGCAGAAAACACTGTTTAATTAACTTACAAATGTTCCTGCTCACCAGTTAGCTCACAGACGGCTGCAGTGAGATTAGACCCGAGACTGAATGAGTCCAGCTGGTTAATATTTAACTTAAAAATTCAAATAATTCTTTGTCAAGCTGGTGATTGTAAAAGCTGGTCTGACAGGCAGTTCTTTGTTTGCTCGTCTTCACTGGTGTGTTGATTTAGAAACAGCAGGTGTTTAACTGCTTTACAGAAAAGAAAAAATAAATAGGTTGGGACTTTAGCCGGGGTTTAAAAGTGCTGATAGATGGAGAAGTCTGGATGTAGAATATGTTCTGAGGAGATCAGAGTCTGGATGGATTGGTCATGCAGACCTTTAAAAACTAATAAAAGAATCTTAAAATAAATTCTATATTTCACTGGAAACCAGTGGTGCTATAAAGGTACAAGCCAACTTAAGACAAATAACAGATCTCCAAAAGAAAGAACATTGTATTTATAAAAAGATATACTGGTAATGAGTATTATTAGTTTGTCCAATTTCAAAGCAGAATCTAGAATGACATCTACATTTATGAGATGTGTTCAGAGATTTGAAGGCTAAATAGGACAAAGAAATTTAAACCGACAATAAAAAGTCTCTGTCTTACTCTCAGTTAGCTGTAGAACATATTTTCCCGTCCAGTGTTTCATACCTTCATTGTGCTTTCTGAACAGAGACCCTAGTGGAAGCTCGATGAAAATCAAACGGGACCTAAGATAGATCTTTGAGGTACACCACGGGAAACGTGAGCAGAAGAAGATGGAAAATTAACAATCATGAGGCCAACCAGAGACATTTGTTTCCATCACTTCCTTTTTATCCTGTTAGATATTGATGTGAAATTGTCATGATTAACGTGTGAATTCTTGAGTTATGGCTAAAAAAAAAAAAAGTGTTTTGTGAGAAATTTTAACAAATTCCTCCCGGGCACCCGTGTTATTGTGTTTACAAGAATGTACTGTAACTTTGACCCGAACACAAAAGGGTTAATAAAATACTGTACAGACTTGTAAAGCCCCTTTAAGGGAGATGTGCGATCTTGTGCTTTAAAAATAAAATGAACGTTGACTCGTCAAAGAAGTATAAGTGCAAAAATACAAGCAACAAAATCCACATAAAACAGAACATCAAGGCACAGAGAAACCTTTAATTATGCATAATAGTTTTGGTGGGCGTAACAGCTGATACATGTGTCTTTAATACAGCGACAGAGAGAAAGAGGAGGGGTCAAGAGTGTGCGTCTACGTGGCAGAGAGTGAAGGCAGGGTTAGTGTTTGTTTCTAGCAGATGGGGGATGTGGAGGTCTAGAAGAAGCAGCTCAGGCTTAACATGCTTATCTGCTGAACAGCAGCCTCTATGTGTATATAAAATCTTCCTCAGTCAGCTGTTTTTCGGAGTTGTACCTCTTTGTAGGATACTGGTAATTGAGTTGTTCCTTTCAGCTGTTTCTAGTTCTCTGTGTTTGTAGAGCTCGAATCTCACCGTGCTCGCTTGTAGTGAACATCTGTTGCTGTTGTGCGGTCTCTGCAGGTAGAGTGAGCTCTTTCCTTGGCTGATTTATTGAGTTCGTCTGAGTTTTGTTTGGGGAAAAAACCTATTTGCCTCTCACGTCGGGTGCTTGAGAGTCCAGAGTTGTCTCTTTCGTGGGTTTGTTTTAGCGAGCTAACGGAGCAGGAAGTGTTTAACCTCAGTGAGAGTCTATGTGGTCCTGACTGAATTCAAGACTTTGGCTCGGTGCCTGGAATTCCATGTGCTGTGCGATCAAGTCCGGTAAGTTTACTGTTTATGGAAATGAGTGAGTGGCTCACCTCCTGTGCAGCATGGTGGCTTCTGAGATGTGGATGGTGTCGTATCCGTATTTGAGCTTTGCCCTTCTTTGTTGGTTGTCTCTTTGAACATCTCTTTTGTCTTTGTTCGTGACAGGAAGCTTGTTGAAGCGCTCGCTGATGTCTTGTTCCGAGTGGTCCAGATCGTGTGAAGTTATAATCTGAAAACAAAAACATAATGTTGCATGATTGTTTTTTCTTGGATTAGCAGTGTAACTGGAGGTTGCTCTCAGCTCTACAGAACATTTTAGCGTTTTTAAACTCATTGTTTTGGGAGGGGGGGGGGGGGGTGTTTTTTGAAACAATACAGAAAATGATTGAAATCCCATCTTAAAGAGCTTTCGATGTAAAATCCATGTTTATTTGAAGATAATGACTTTTTATTTTACCATAGTCTCTTTATTTCAACCTGCTCTGCCTAGACACTGAGCTGTGGTTCCTCTGGCCTGTTGTCTTTTCTACTTGCATTGTGACAGTTTAATTTAATTATCTGATTATTCACTTTGTCAATAATGTTATGAGCCTCAAAAACACAACAACAGTTGACTCCAAACCAAGCATTTCTATCCATGTTGTATCCAAACTGGAATGTCTCTTTGTAGCATTGAAGCACAGCTGATTCGTTGATAAGATGTGATGTCACACTGACGTTTCTTTATTAGGTTGGGAAGGTTTGAGGATTTGGCTGCAGTCCGACACCAACGGCTGAGAAGCAGCAAGTCACTGTAACTTCATCTGGAGGAGTTTAACAGGTAAGATCAGCTTCTGGAAACACTTGATTAATGAATTATTGTCCGTCATAAATTATTATAGTGTAACAGTGTAGAATGTACTCGTATATTTAAAAAATTATGAATTGTATTAATTAAAAAGTATGTGAAGTAAAGATATGATCTGAAATGTTCCTAGATTTCATCATAACTATTCATCATGGGTGAGATTCGACATGTCACAACTGGCCTCACATAGCTTTCAAAGAACAGAATTTTTTTTTTTTTTTTTCAAAACTTGATCCAATTTTTATTCAGTACAAAATTGCCTGAACATTGGAGATTCAAAACAACTAATGCAGTTGTTATTCCTCTAGAGATGTATTTTTAACAAAATGACCATTTGTCATATAGATGTCGGACCTGAGGCTCTGTAGTACCTGGGTGTTATTTGTCAAACTAATGTCAGAACTAAGTTTCTACCAAACACATACATTTAGTTTGCCCATGGACTGTATATAAGATATGACCGTAGTCACCATGACATCACCCATTAGTTTGTGGACTGACGTTTTGAAGCCTCAAGTTCTGCATTTTGGCCGTCAGCATCTTGTTTTTTTGCAACCAGAAGTGACAGGAGAGGGAGGAGCTAAGTACAACCAAACGCTGAATCATTTTTAGGCGACCAAAATATTTATGGTGACCCTGCTTCATGGTCTGTTTGACTCTAAATGGACCATAATGTACTAAATGAACATCATGCTGTATTGAAGAAGACTTGAAACTAGAGATTGAGACCATAAACTCATGTTTACAATGTTTACTGAGGTAATAAATCAAGAGAGAAGTAGAGTCATTTTCTCATAGACTTCTATACAACCAGAGGAGTCGCCCCCTGCTGGGAGAAAAAGTTCCTCTGGTCCAAAAATGCCTAGCTTGTGGAACTATTTGGTCAAAGAGGGGCTTTTGATCATCCAATTAGAAAACCTGCAATTATTAGCATTCTTTGTTTTGCTAGGGAACCACGATGACGGCACACGATCTTTGGAAAACTCTGGTGAACCTGTCAGAAGAACAGTTCAAGGAGTTCAAGTGGTTCCTGAAGCAGGAAGACATCCATGAGGGCTTCTCAGCCATCTCAGCGGCCCGGCTGGAGAGGGCAGACAGGCAAGATACTGTCGATCTGATGGTGCAAAAATATGGCTGCCCTGGAGCTCTGGAGATAACCATGAGCATTTTAGAGGAGATCAGCAGGAATGATCTGAAGCAGTGTTTGTTCAACACTGTTGGCTCCAGACGAAAAGGTAAGTTAAGGAAATGTGAAAATATAATCTCTCATAGCTATAATTTAAATGTTTTAGATAAATATTTAATAAACATTTAGGTAAATAGAAGTATTGGATCAGACTCAGTATCGTCAGATACCCAATATTAAAGGACTTTGATGCGGATCAGGAAAAAACAACAACTTGAGATTTAAGATTGACCAGATGTGTTTGTGTTCTGCTTTGTTTTAGACCTTAAGAATCATGACTCTCCTCCTCTCAATTGTGATTATGGAAGAATGAAGTCCAAGCTTGTGGAGACAACGGCTGAGATTAAGCTGATGATCCAGAAGAGAGAGATGAAGATCTTGGAAATCAACCGCTCAGCAGAGATCAGCAGTAAATCTGCAGACACACACATCGCAGACAGTGAGCAGGTCTTTACTGTTTTGCAGCAGTCTGTCAAGAGAATTCTGGGTAATCTCATTGAGGCAATAAAAGAAAAGCGTGAAACGACAAAGAAACACGCCAAAGGATTCATCCAAGAGCTGGAGCAGGAAATCTCTGAGCTGAGAAAGAAAGGCGCTGAGGTGGAGCAGCTCTCACGCACCGCAGACCACCCTGAATTTCTGCAAAGATTCTCGTCCCTTAATGCTATTCCACCCACCAAGAACTGGACAGAAGTCAGCATCCCTCCACCGTCATATGGGGGAAGTGTGGGGGTCGCCATGAATCAGCTGGAGGGAACACTTGTGAAAGAGAAGGAGAAATTGTTTGCTAAAACCAAGCTGAAAAGGGTCCAGCAGTTTGCAAAGCATGTGACTTTGGATCCCGATACAGCAAATGCCAATCTCATTTTGTCTGACGATGGGAAAACAGTTCACTGTGGTGACGCAACACGAAACCTCCCAGACAACCCAGAAAGATTTAATCCTGCTATAAATGTCTTGGGAAAGCAGAGTTTCTCTTCGGGGAGGTTTTACTACGAGGTTCAGGTTAAAGGGAAGACTTCCTGGGATTTAGGCGTCGTCAAAGAGTCGATCAACAGGAAGGGGTCGATCTCAGCAAGCCCCGAGAATGGCTTCTGGACGATATGTTTAAGGAAAGGAGATGAGCACAAAGCTCCTGCTGTCAATCTTAGTGTAAAAACTCAGCTGGAGAAGGTGGGCGTGTTTGTGGATTATGCGAAGGGTTCAGTCTCCTTTTATGACGTTGACTCTGCAGACCTTATCCACAGCTTTACTGACTGCTCCTTCACTGAGAAACTCTACCCATTCTTCAGTACCGGTCGTCATTACGATGGTAAAAACGCCACCCCTCTGATCATCTCTACTGTCAATTACGATTAGATTTGATAAATCATCTACTTCTGCAACTGATTCAGCAATTTAAGAAACATCGCAAATTATAGCAACTGTGATGTTTGTGTTTAAACAAGTTCATGATCTACAACAGTGTAGGAGATGAGTGAAATGCTTTGAAACTGTCTGAAAATGTATCAGGATTTGGTTTTAGTACCCAGATGTACCACTAGACAGAGCCACGTCCTCTGTGATGAAATGGAGTTAAAGATGCGTCTGTGAATAAATGTCTTTGATGTAATCGTGTGGAAATCCCTTCCTTGTATTCGTCTGCTGGCTTTCCCAGTCAGCTAGCGTTGAAGAACTCATGCAAAGTCCTGTTGACCTGTTTACTGTAGTAGAATGTTTCAATGGTATACTGGTACACGGTGAGCCCTCAGACAGAGCGTTGGTCTGAGACAGTAAGCCAACCAGCAAAGGACTCAGAACTGATCTACAGTGTAAAATACTCGACTCTACTTATAATAATTGATGCATTCATGTGTTCATCATTTTAATGTTGCAGCTGGTAAAGGTGGATCTCATTTTATTACTTTATATACTACTGGGTAATTTAATCTATAATAATACATCATCATTTATTAGTTGATTTGTTTCATTGTTATTCTGAATCTGCAAAGTAACTAAAGATATAAAATAATGTAGAGCAGCAAAAAGTACAACTTTAACATGAGATGATGTGGAGTAGAAGAATAAACTAGCTCAAGTACTTCAGAATTGCACTTTAGTACATTACTTGAGTAAATGTACTTTGTTGCATTACAACATATTTAATAACTAATGCTAATTACAAACTACTAATATGTTTAACATCACAATTCATAATAAATCTGGAAAGTAAACAGTTGTTGAGGTACAGGATTACATTGTTTTAATGATTAAGATTTGTACTTTGCATAAAAATAATGTGCCAGAGTTCCCAAAAGCCCCAAAAGCCCTGAAATCCAATAAAAGTATTTTCTTTGTAGCTGTAAGCAGATGACTTCCTTTCATTTTGAGCAACAGCCCTTTTAAAATGTCTGTGCACATCCCTGTAGTGGAGGAAGTAAGGAAACTGACAAGTCTACACTCTGGATCACAGCAGGAAGAAAAGTCAAAAAGACTTTATTGCCAGGTATTATGAATTGTATTATATTGATACATGGAATTTGCCCCAGCACAGTCCGGGCAATGTAGTTTGATGTCAAATATTAACAAATTCATGCAGATTATGCAATAAACTATTGAAGATAAGCAGAAGAGAAAGTGAAGAGAAGTGATTCTGAGTCAGTTTACCTGAAGCTGAAGCTACAGTCCAGACGTTTGGGTTTCTGTCTGAAGACAAATTAAAATACATTTCTTGGATCTTTCTAAATAACACACAGGTGAGCACTTCTGGTTACACTTCTGATTACATTCAAGGCAAGTTAAGTATAATATATGTCAAGATGTGGCAACAGCAGAAGTTTATACCTGTTAATGTACATTTGTACTAAACAAAGGAGAATATTTTAATAAATGGACCTTTTTATAAAAATTGATTTGATAGATTTATCATCAGGAACTATGTGTGTTGTTACAATCGCCATTTTCTTTTGTACTCGTCAAACGACCCTGGAAAACATTTTTCATCAGCACCAATGTGCAACAGAGCTCCCCGACCCCAAAGAACGAGGTGTTATATTGAATTAGTCTCAACCTGCTATACCTCAATTAAAACGTGTATGTTAGAATGAGTATTGAGTGTACTTGTGGATTATGATGGTATGGATAAAATAAATATGTTAGATGGAGAGTTGCTCCATGCTACATACTGTATTCTCTCCACTTTTTGCAGCTGGTCTGAAGCTGTGAACATGTGAGCTTCCTGTGTATCTGATGTGAGGAAGCTCTTTAACGGTGAGGAGACAACCTTTACTTTCTTTAACAGGAAGTGGAAAGTTTTGAGACCAAGACGGTGAGCACCGACTGATAAACCTGTACGGTCATTGTTAGAATAGCTCACAAGAACTGTTGGACAGAATATTCTAGAGGTGTTCATCTTAATAAAGCTGAAGGACTCAAAGGAGGTGCTGAATCTAGCAAGGAGAGTTATTTTCTGTACTAAATGGTGCATTGTTTGAATGTATATTACATGTCTAGTTTCTATTTGAAGGTGACTACTCATTGTCTCTGCTGTCACATTTGCATTTTAGAGGCTGGGTTAAATCAACCCAGCCTCTAAAATGATCAATACTATACTATTGTGTGACTTTTATACGGTTCTCAGCAAAAAGATGTGCTACAGAATAAGAGTTAAAGTGTAAATACACAATGATGCAGCATGAGATGATGATATGTGTACACATCAGGTGATGGTTTTGAGGAGATTAGAGCAGGATGTGGTTTCAGTTGACTACTTCCACTTATGAAGACACACAGTAAAGTGTGATAAAAGTGTTAAATATTGTTCAGGCCCATCATTAAGCCCTGCAGTGGGTATCCAGCTGTGCAATCATACATTTTTTGGGCCCTCTGAGATGTAACATCATTCTCCAGCCATGACCTAATTTCCTTCTGGGGATAAATAAATGTTCATCTTGTCAGATGCATTTAAATCCTCTCAGCCAAGCAAGGAGCAGACACTCAGCAGCTTGGTCCGGTCTTATATATACATTTTATCTGCACAGGCTAAACTACAGTTATTGGCCCATGTGGCTTGAATGCCAACAATGTGAATTAAACTTAAACTATAGGTCTGTATCAATAGTGAAAGAAGAGGAAACATCATGACAACCTGACATGAAGGCTACATTCACATGGAGTAAAATCAGTTAAATTCTGCATTTTATAATTCTACTACTGCTGACAAGCGGAGGAAGCAGCTGTTATTGGAGTTTAATCCTTTTGATAATTCCGAGAAAAAAAAAGTAAACTGAAACTTCAAATCTTTGTCTTGAATTTTGAAAAATAAAAAAATGTATTCAAACTAAAAAATAAGTGAAGGAAAAGTGTTTTTGGGTTAAATATAACTTTGATTCAGTTTTGGTACTCATGAGTGACAGCTTAATCAAGAAGGCTGAGGAGCTTCCTCAACCACGTTGCCTTCAGGAAACGTAGGTTTTGATCATTTTAACATTTTTATCAAATGATCAAAACTATTGGCCTGGATTTGGTTCCATACATTCACACTTTGTTTCATTTTAAAACACATCTTTTGCTACGTTTTAGAGCCCCTTAAACAGAGATGTTTGAAAACGCCAACGACGCCGTTTTAGTTTGAAAACTCCAGGGTTGTGTTGCAGTGTGGACGGGCAGAAACGGGGACATTTGGGTAATTGGGTTTAAGTAGTCACGACTTTTCCTTCTCCGATTCGTCACAACAACAGCCTTGATTATCGATCGACTACCAGTGGGTATGTCAACATGGATAAAGGATTACAGGTGTTGCTGATCTTGTTGTCTATACTAACAGCATTTGTGCAGTTAAATTCTGTATTTTATAATTCTACTAATGCAGACATGTGGAGGAAGCAGCTGTTAATGGAGAGATTAGTGAGCAGCGTGTCCAGCGGCGTAATCAGTGCTACAGAGCGGACGTCTGAAGTCACGGTTTGAGGCTTTGAGGGGGACGATGGACACAAAACTGAGGGCTTTCCTTTTCTTATTAATGCTTATTTTGTTCTGCACAACTATTGCAAAGTTCACAAAGAAACTGTAAACAAACAAAATCATAAATGCTCTCCAGTGAGACAGCCACCCGGCAGAGCTACGAGTGAGAGAACAAACAACGAAACAGATGAAAGGAGAGAGAGACGTGTGTTGACATCATTTATTGACCCATAATCTAGAAGACTTTGATTTGTTAGTGTTCATTTTTAAAGTAAATTTGATGTGTGTGTGTGAGATAGATCTCAAGTACCAAGCACAACCTTTAATTATTAAAGAGTACAATAATACTCTGTTGTATTTTCATTCAGAGTTATTGTTCGTGAACTCCTGTAGCGGTATGTGAGGTAAAAGTGTTTAAAAAAATTATAGTTTGAGCCCCATTTATTATTTTCCTGTATAAAAGTAAATAATACTGGAATACAAGAGGAGAGCAGCACTTTATTGTACTGGCTGTTGTCATTCATAAAAACATGGAGCAAAATTATAAATTAGACAATTATTTCATATGAAATACAAATTTGTGCCACTAGAATCTCTGTTTGAATTTCTGTTTATAGCTAATTATTTAGAAGGGTTGCTCTTCCATTTTTGACGACATCTAGATCTTGTTCCTTTGGAGTTTGAACAGTTGTGAAGTTGCAGCGGAGGAGATACTATTTTTTTTATTTATTTCCTCAGAAAATAAAACTGATTCAGAATTGTCCTTTACTTTTAGCAGGCAGCCATGACGGTGAAACTTAAAGAGGAGCTCTTAAAAACTCTGGAGGACTTGATCAATTCAAGTGGTTCTTGACGGAGGACGATGTCCTGGAAGGCCTTTCAGGCATCCCAGTGGCTCAGCTGGAGAACGCAAAAAGGCATTACACGGTGGATCTAATGGTCCAGAAATATCAGGGTCCTGGAGCTACGAAGGTAACCACGAAGATTTTAGAAATGATCGGCAGGAATGATCTGGTGCTGCGTTGCCAGAATTTCAACTTGAAATTAACTGATAATTGTGTCTTTCTTCACAAAAAAAATGATTTCTAATAGTTTAAGTGAGGTTCCAGAAGAACATCGATGTGATTGGTCAGATTTTGAGACGGTTTATTTAATTACATGAAGACTAATTCACTTTAATATCTGAAATTACATTACAGTCATTTAGCAGACGCTTTTATCCAAAGTGGCTTACAATTCAGATTCTATCACATTTCTACACCGTAGGCACAATTTTGGGGTTAAGAGTCTTGCTCAAGGACACGTCGACATGCGACTAGCGGAGCCGGGGATCGAGCCGCCGATGCTCTGATTGAAGGACGGCCCTGCTCTCCACTTAGCCACGGGCGCCCACTGAAATACAGATGTGTTGTAAATGGAGGCTTTGAAACAGTCTGCAGTAGACTTCAATGAATTGCATTATATAACTGATTAAATATGAATGTCAGATGAGCTTTAGTACAGATGATAAATGTGCAGAAGTAAGAATTTTTAAATGGAAATGTTCGAGGCCCAAGTTATAAATAGAATGGGACTAAATGTCTCCATAGACTTCAATGAAATATGTAGCTGACCATTTTGAAATGTAAATGTAGATTGTTGTATATACATAGCTGGGATATAAATACAGTGGTTCACTGTAAGATTAGTTTAAAAATACAACAGTTGTCAATAAGAAAATCAATGCAAGTTTACAACAATCACACTAATCAATATGCTCTGAATGTTTGACATGATTTGATCTGTTCAGTTGGCCATTTTGGATTTGCACCTCACTGTTTTATTGACATTTATGATCCTTACAAAGATCTTCACTATTTTCTGAGCATTGTAAATGTTGCCATTTATAGATATTATAAGAAGCAGTTTATTCTTGTTTGTGTTTTTGAAATTAATAAATGAGTAAATCCTGAAATTCAATATATACGTATATCTAGTCTGTTTTATCTCCTCGTCACTGATATTATTTGCAAATTACATTTTGCACTTTTTACGTTTACTCAACAAGTGTAATAGAAAGAAAAACAACAGTGACACACTTCCTGTACCGGTAACAAATTAACAATAAACTCATTTTAGAGGCTTTTCCTCAATAAAATGTGTATTTTTCTCCTGAAAAACACTCCAAACTCCTCAGACTCATGAATAAATCTTCTTTATTTCCATTCTCACAGAATGTAACTGGCTCTTTGTACAACAAACTAAAATATGTAACTGAAATCCAAAATGAAATGTGGCACTGAATGCTTTTCCAGGATCCAGTCACTGATACATTTACATAATCACATTTAATAGAAACAAAAGCAGTGACACACGCCCTGCATTGTCAACAAAATACAAAAATGAACGAATGCAGCTGCAACCGCATAAGCTCGACATAAACTACGACGGGATTTGTTGTGAACTGCAGAACTCAGTCGCTGGATCAGGACGGTGAAACATGTTCAGCTTCAGTACGCTCTGCTGAAGCGCTCGTTGACTTTGGCGACAGGAACGTAGAGGACGAGGCTGACGACGAAGAACTGCTTCTGCTCCTCCAGCCAGACCAGCTTCATCTTCACGTGACCCTCGGGGTCGTAGAAGTGCATCAGGAAGTGCTCGCCGCCGTAGTCGACGATCAGCGGCCACTTGGTGCCCAAGATGAAAATGGACGAGCTGACGCACCAGAAGGGTTTCTGGAACTCGTCCAGCAGAGTCAGAGTCATGATGCAGCAGTTCTACGGAGGAACCGTCACAGCTGAAATAAAAAGGGATGCGAACCCTTTACCCCCCCCCCCACCGAACAGCTGAGCTAGAAAACAAACCTGAATCAGACGTCTACGACCGTGTTCAGGTTCGCTGGTTCACACTGAATCCATATTTCAGTTGTTTTCATGTGTGCTTACTTTATTCAGGACTCAAACTCATTTAACAGATTTATAAAACTTTTTCATGCTTTGGAGGCAAATCTTCATGAAAATTAAGAATAAAAAGGTCGGAGTTTGACGTTACAACATGAAGTGACGAAATTGATCTGCCAGAACATTTACGTACCGTTTTCATAAATATACATCTCAGTCGATATTAATTTAACCACATGAAGTCTTTTTTTACAACTATTTGAGACGAACGTTTCCATGACTTTTCTAAAACATTCAGTTTTTTCTCCGGGCTTGGAAAATGCTATTTTCAAATTCCTTGACTTGTCCAGGTCTGTGAACAACTAGTCATTTACTGATAGTTTTTTATTGAACCATTTCTATGGAATAGTTCAGGAAACACACTTATTATTGTAAGTCTGTGGAGCTGGAATCCCGAGGAAGTTACGGTTTAACCGACCAAAACATGTCTATTTAACGCTTTGTTTTTGTTTTACTAAACGAGGTATAACATGTTAATAGTATTAGTACTTTACTATTAGTAATACTAATAGATGTACCTCCACTGAGCCCTCCAGGGACTCGCTCTTCCACGGCAGCTTGATGTTGCCCGACAGCGATCTGTGCTCAGACAAGTTGTTCAAGTCGATGACCCTCAGCTCCACCAGACCGTCCTGGATCTGATCTGATGGCAGCAACACATCAGGTGTTAGAGATTTACACCTTCTTCTGTCAGGACTGTTCCAGGTATTTATTTAATCTGAGGTTAAAGTCAGACGGTAGAACGTCTAGAAATATTGAAAATAGCGATCAGATTACAACCCTCTAATTGATGTCATTTCCACGATTTAACGTCATAAAAATTTTTAACCAGCCAGATGACACGTTACTCAGATTAAATTAAACGATCAGGTAATCAGATTACCTGTTAATCAGGTTATATCATGTAATCAGATTACCTGTTAATCAGGTTACATCATGTAATCAGATTACCTTTGCGACAGCAGAGGTGGCGGAAGTTTCCCGACATGATCTCGGTGCCGGTGTTGTGCAGGACAAAGTGCAGCAAGTAGCCGTGCAGACCGAACTCAGGGTCCGAGTTATCCACGGGAGGAAGGGCGACTGGCTCGGCGTACGGGCTGCAGGAAGGGACAAAAAGGACGGATGAAGCAAAGCACCTCAGAGACGATCATAACCAGGAACGCAACAAAAATATTAGATTCAAACAAAGCTTGTGGAAGTTTAACTGAACTGATTCTTTGAAATGCATTTACTTGAGAATCAATAGATTTACTAAAATCTATTATCAGCCATTCAAGTCCTTTAGTGAAATGCTTTGTTGCACCCCCTACAGCACTGTTTGGTCATAATAAATAATAATACAAAACACAAATACAATATTTACTACAAAGAGAATCTAAACAACAAAGGAGGAAGATATTAGGTTTTAAATGTATCAATTAACTAAAGGTCAGACAGAACTAAACAATCTGTTCATTATTTAACATTTGACCAAATAGAGCTGCAGTGATGTGTTGTGACCAGCAGAGGGAGCTCTCAAACATCACTAAATCACAAACAACTCACCAGACTGGAGATCCCAGCAGACTTTTCTCCAGCAGCTTGTGGAAGTGAAGGGTGACCATGATGAAGGCGATGGTGTCTTCACCCTAAACACAAACGCATAAATAGATTATAATAATGAGTAATATATATTTAATGAAAGAGAGCATTAAACACTTTACCCTCCAGGTGGCGATGGTGATGCCGGGCTGTAGATGCCTCAATCTGACCAGGTTATCGTTCCCAAAGCGCCAATCATTACAAGTCCTCAAGTCCAGGTTCAAGATCAGAGAACGCCATCCAGGTCTGATGAAGAGGGAGAAGAGGAGGAGGAGGAGGAGGTAGAGGAAGGAGAGGTGAAGGTGCGGTGGTGGGCGGATCAGAACGAAACGTGGAGCAAATAGAACTTTAAATGATCAAGTTTACAAAGTAACACTATCAGAGATCGATGACGTCCTGATCACATGTTTTACTGAATATTGGAGAACGATCCTCAGTAAAACTTTATTGACACTGTGATGGTTAACATTAACGGTGACACCACCAGTTGTGTCTCACCTCCTGGCTTTGGGGCTCTTCTGCGTCTCCTTCCTGACCCCGTACAGCTGGATGGTTCTGATCTGATTGTATCTGAGGACGTGTTCTGCACTGAAGTGGACGATGGCGGAGGACTCGAAGAAGTACACTCTGCTCGGCTCCATCGTGATCTCCAGCCCCGAACAACAACACACCGTCAGCTCCCAGCTCACGTTCAGGTTCCTGTAGAGAACAACCAGATACCTCTGATGTTTACGGGTTCATCGTCTCGTCTATTAAATAAGGAGCTACGTTCACTCAGAGCCTAGAAACGCTAATATCAGACTAACTCAAGTTCACAAGAATGTTGGTTGTTGAACATGGTTCTACATGGTTTGTCTGGTTCTACATGGTTTGTCTGGTTCTGGTTTCTCTGGTTC